AGCTACACTTGAGATCGAGGACCAGTTGCTGTGCTCTGAGGTCATGGAGGAAGCAGGAAACATGTTTAATGATCTTAGGACCTCGTTTGAGTCCTTTCAGCAGAAACTCAGACAGGTCATTATCAAAGTCAAACGCAAAAAATGCAAAATGCCCGGCAAATGACATTGCACGACATGTTCAAAGACCAAAGTTGAAATTGTTTTTTCCATAATAAATTGCGTACATATCTGGGATGCGTACTTCAACGGGTGCGTACTTAATCGGAAGACTACTGTACTAGAACAATGTAAATTTTGTTCTATTGTACTAGCACCATCATAATCCTATTGCTCTAAGTTCGAGATCATATATCATATATCAATTCGAGTACTACATCAAGGTATGTACTGGCACAATTTGGTGATTTGTAGATACCGTCAGGTTCCTCAAAATATATTAGCCAAAGTGATATCTCGTAGGTTTTCTGGTTATATACAATTTACAGATGAAAGGGATATTTTATCGAAAGAAGAAGTTTGTATACTTTGTGCACTGTCGAACTGGAAGACTGATAACTTGTTTAATGTGATGGTTCTGACATTCTCGGTCTACAAAAATATATATTCTAAAAGTTTATTATGCGCTACAGGTCGCGCTCATCAAAAGATGCCATCGTACAGTACGTTCAAAGCGACGAAGTATGATAACTCCTTGTATCCGCCAATAAGTCCGTCGGCCTGTCCGATGACGATTGCGCCCGTATGCAAAAGAACAATCCAATCATGTTCATTAACATAAATCCTATCCTGCGTGATATGAAATCTATATACATCAGTTGATGCTCGTCGTAGACATAGTGCGTTCAATACGCTACCACCGGTGCTCATTGCCGCAAACAGAATTTTACGATATGCCGCAACGCTTGGTATGGCAGTACCGTATTTAGTCGCAATCTCGAGACAATCCTCTGCTTTGCATTCTTATCGCTGCCATATACAATGTTTGTACAGCAAAAATAACAAACGTATTACGTCCAGCTATAACACAAGAGGCTACAATTACGCCCTGATCGATCCAAAAAATTATTTTACATGAGGGATGAAAGTTTGTAAATATCTACAAACCTTTAAGCTTAATTTTTCCAACATGGAGCATTCTTGACTACCCGTCCAAACGAACCAGTAAGTAAGTAATGCCATGGCTCACCATGTCGTAGATTATGTAAAAATTTAATTGTGCCTGCTGCGCAACACGTTGTTGATGTACGGGATGCAATCATCAAATCTGTTGCAGTCATCGCTAGGTACATCGCTTCAACTCGTTGTCCGCTTTCATGATTATTCGATTCTTGTACCATCAATCTCTACATTAGCTGAACAGGCTCTCGACGGACACAGATACAATATGCGACAGGCTCGCCACAGCAAGTCTTAGCTTTAGTTAACACATCAGGTACATCATATCCATACGTGAAAACGAGAGCCACAAACGAAGTAAAGGTGCGTTGCGAAGTAGCACTAACTCTCGTTAGACCGCACACAACATGTAAAAAACGACCATCTCCTGAGTCAACGCTGAGCTCGCCATTAGACTTCTTTGTACATACTCTGCATACCCTGATAAAATTGACTTTGCAAGTTGTACTATCCTTCGTTAGCGATCATGATTGAACGTATACACTGGTCTTTTCGATCGGTCGAGAGTGGTTCTTAATCACGCCAACATACGCAAACAATATGCTTCAAACAGACAAAAACTATATCAAAAGTTCAGTAAAGAAATCCTACTTCTCAAAGCCCTATCCACAGATTATGACACCAGTATTGATTTTTCGCTATACTCTCCCACCTTTATTGGCTCAAAACATGCTGTCGGACCAATGTATTACGGAAACAATAGCAATCAGCTAGAACAAATTCATTTTCCAATTTTCCCTTAGGAGCCTACAGCACTCTTCAATAATATCAAGCCATCTGTGATACAATGCCGCAGCTTGTGGTCTCGACCTCGGAGGAGCAATCATCACAACCATTAAATTTAATCCCGCGCTTAACCCGCAAGAAGTCACAATGTGAGGTGGCTGCAGCGATTAAGGCGCCTCCTCTCACGCCTGTACCAGTTGAGCCGTTGCGCTGGTCGACGGCGTCTTTCTCGCTCTCTTTTTTAAGCAATATTGATCGCATTGAGTTTAATGAGACTGTGGATCGGAACGGTGTGACATATTACGTAGTAGAAGTGTATCAGTTTCACTATAATTCGCGTTTACCTACTAATGTCAACAATCCGCGTATGGCGGCCACAAGTCTATCGGACGATAACGAGCAACAAGGTCCCGACTATCGTGTGGAGCGACGCTACTCGGACTTTTCAAAGCTGCGCCACCAGATTAAGGTTTGGACCTGCCCGAATGCGCAATTCATGTGCCAGTACTGCTACGAATTCGGTCGCTACATGCGATTTAAATTGCGCCAGCCTCGTCTTCTGACGGCGCTGACTAGCAATAATGTCGAGAAGCGCAAAAAGATGTTGCAAAATTTCATGAAGGATTTTGTCGATCTAGCGCAGAACCCATCGAAGAACTCGGTACATCGTTGTGAGGCTCATCAGCACGTACCGGCACTTTTAGAAAGTTTTCTTAGAGATTGAGACATTGTTTATTAATAGTAGGTCTAGTAAATTCTCGTGTAATTTAATTCCACGTCGTTCCAACTTATCTTTACTTGCAATTGTATTCCATTATGCATTCTTCCCTAGACTAATGTATTCTGTCGAAAAAACCAGAGTACTGCACCACTGCGACGCACTTGCAAAAAAGAAGCTAATCTGAAGTTGGCACACTTTTACGCGTAAAATGTATACTTAGCTAATTTTTTTGTCGATGATTTTGGCAACTATCGCATTGTAGGAATTATTTGACACGGAACGTTTTTAAAACTATTCAGTTCCTTGACGATTGGTTACTGATTTATCGTCTAGCAAAATCAAGCAAATAACACACCTTATGTACTTACATATGATGTTGCGGTACCAGACTTGAAACGTTACTTAATGAAGTGCAAATTTTTTGTGCTTACGTGTCGTCCCATGTCATAGTCAACTATAATATCACCATCTGCTTTTCTTAAAAAGTGGTTATCTTGTGATTGCCGCTGCGTTACCAGACAAAACATGAACGCAGTCGCCGACACTTTTCAGCGGATATCAGGCCTCCAAACTGTATACGTGCCGTGTCGATCTTTCATGTCTAAGCAGAATATGATAAAAATGTAGCTTACTTTATGCCTCGCTGCCTACTCGAGATGTTTACTTGAGGTGCTCTGACAACCGCGACGACTTTGTTTGCTATGATAGCGGCATGTTAACCTCATCTCTAGCTTCATTTGATATAAATATATCTGCAAATTTAATGCGGTTTAGTTACTCAAGGTGTGCTGACATGCTTGGTTATGTATCAAAAATGTCAACATGTAACCTTGGAGGGGTGTTGATCGTGTCGAAAAGAATAGCAGCACTATCCAGCTGGTGTACGGAGCTTGCACAATGCAACCCATACATATGGATTGCGCAATACTGAGCATTACACTTCACGCCTTCAACCAAACCACCATACTTTTTCTATTTTGCACTCTAACAGTGCAGCATGTACAAAAAAATGGCTCCGAGTTTTACAGCTAGCCAAATGGATTGTCACTTAAGTAAACTTGGAATCTGTAAATATATATGATATAAATATACTTGAGTCTACCCATGCAATCTGATACTAGTTCATGTAGGCATTTAGCTAAATATCCATTACCAAATTCACATCGTACATGTACCCAGAGCTGATCGATGACAAACTGAGATTTCGACTACAGCTTTCGTCTCTGTATGGACGTTGCAAATGCTTGTTGCATGTACTGTATGTTAATCGCACCAATTATAAATTCGGTACAGCTGCATTAATTATATAAGAGTACAATTATACAGAAATTATGGTATAGTAGAGAATATTCGAAAGTACCGAAATTTGGGTATTTATTACGATCGCGGAAACACGTTTCAAAAGAAAGACACTTTAAATATAAAAGATAGGAAAACGAATTCATTTTGTATTAGTCTTGATAAAATTGACCCCAAATATATTAGTCTCTTGAATAACTGACCTTGGGATGAATTGACCAGCTTAACAAGCTTTCGACTATCTTGAATCCCGATGCCATCATAAAACTTGCAGCCAAAGGGCCGTAAGCGTTTTTTTTTCGCCCAAAGCGCTCACCAGCTTTGAAAATTCGCTGGCGAGGCACGTCCAAGAGCTCCCCAACCATGACTTTCACCTGGTTATTGTGTGACCCAATCACTGAATGCCGAAGTAGAAAAAACCTCTCCGTCTGGATGAGGGTCGATGAGATGGAAATAACTTCGTCTTTGCTCCAAACTAGGGTATCGCGCGCGAAGTGTCATACCTTGGTAATAGAGAAGCTCTTAGCGGGGTACAAGCGACATATGTCGCGGGCGATCGCGCCACTCAGCCTGGCGTTTACGATACGCTCAAAGTTCTTGGCTACCCGTCAATAAAGGCGGAACTGGCGTACTATGCACATTGGTCGAGAGTTATTTGCAGAAACGGCATCTGACACTCTCCATTAGCGGAGTCGGTGACCATCATCATAAAGGCTTTTGAAACAGGTGCGGCTCCCATCGAGCGAGACCTTTTACATCCACATTTATTCGTGTGAGGAGCGGTGAGCTTCGCATTTAATGTGGCATTGAACTCCCGGCAGGGTGCAGTGCTGGTAATGTCGTCTCTGCGAGCGTTTCTAAAGCAATTGCCTTCCGCTTTGCTGACGGAGATTAGAGAAACCTCTTAGCTGATGTTATGCTGTGCGGTGCCTGCGACATTTTATCCGTGGCAGTGCAGCGTATTAGCGCCTTGCAAACTCCCTTCGATCTAAGCTGGGATGCAGAATGGATCGGGCTCTTACACAGGTGCGTACGACAGACTCTGACGAGCATACCAGATAAGATCTGGGCTCACATACTCACAAAGAGATAGTGGTCAATGGGACCCAGCCCTAAGTAGGTGCCCTTCTCAGACTAAGGAAGGGTTCGCCCAGCTATCTTGACTATTAATTTTAAAGCTCTAGCTTTGTTGAACCTTTCAATTTAGCTCGACGGCCTTAACAGCATAAAATACTGTCTAGTCTTCAATCAAGATTCGGAATACAACCCCATACAAGGCATGATGCGGCTGGAAAGCTAAGAGACTAAAGTCGGATAAGTGAGGTGCTAATGTTTCTCCTTATGCAGTATACCTCCTTATGCAGTATTTCTGAGTCATCCTACCTTTGTCAGGAGACTAAAGCACATTTGACGCGGCCACGATGATGCAATAGCTTTTGCGGAAGACATGGGATTGCATAAAATTGATAGCAGCGTTATGAGCTGTAACCCAGAGCCGTCTCGAAATACAGAAGTGGTAGTAAGCCGAGGTCTCACGATGAGACTAAAAGAGATTTTGTACATTGCAGACTCCACAGTGTCTATATATTGAGACGAGAGCGGACAAACGTATGTCGGTGTCCCAGAGCGTATCTGTGTTGGAACGTAAAAAACAGCTGTGAGCTGTTGTCTCTATTGCCAAGTCTGGCGGAGAATGGGATCGAGTAAGTGTCACAATCTCCAGAACCCGGTAAAGTTGGAGGGGGATTGTGAACCGTGAATATATGGCATAGGCTCTGAAAATGAAGTGAATATGACATCCACGTCATGCTTTGACGGTCTGCTGAGCCTGCACACCCGTGCGATGGGTCATCAAGCGGGGCAATTGGGTTCCACGCGTAAGCTGCAAAAGAATTTTTACTGGCGAATGGGATGATTGGTGTTATCCCTTACACTGTGGTCTTCACACTACTTTCGGCGGAAAATCTTATAGAGCTGGAAGAATTATACCTCTAGATATGTGCATGAGATTGCAAGACGGTAATGTCACCAGATCGATATGGCTGTACTTAGAGAAGTTGCTACGCTTGTCATTCGTAATGCACAATCCTACCATTGGGGAATCTCGTAGAGCGCTGATAGCAAGAAATGGGACAGCGACCATCAAGGACCCAGCGAATTCTTCCTATATTTTGTTGAAAGAATGTCACGACACGATGATAAGGGATCCGCCCGCGGAGAGGGGGGGTAACGAATTCGACATAGATCATAGCTAGCTTAAGTATCGCGCTACTCGCTAATAGCCCTTATGAAGGGAACATTGTGATGTAGTTGACGCAATTTTCATGCGAAAGGTAAAACTTTGCACTCTGCAATAAATCGCTGTATCAGAAAGGTTAAAAGCAAGTGGTAGCTTGTGCATGCTTATAATAAGTTAAATGCAGCCATTGTCCCAGTGCAAAGCCCGATACTTATACTCCGTTCAAAGCACATGAAGTCGAATGTGGAGAACAATATCAATGAAGTGTTTAAATCCATCTGGTTCAATAATATAAACAAGTGCGTAGACGATCAATCTTCCGTATTGGGCTGCTTTCTCGGAAAGCAGGGCCCGCAAACAAATCCCGCAAAGATAAAAAGCAAGTTGATTGGCCAGTGCTTTTGGTACATAACGACTTGAAGGAATGGCTTATCCTGGTCAGCTACTCGTTCAGGTACAGTGCAAAATATACAGACATGGCGCACCCTCTCACCAATCTCTTTACTAATATTGTATGATGGTATGGGGTTTAGCAGAAGAGGCGACTTTTTAAGGCTTCGAGAGAAACTCTCATGCGTGCCCCGATATGGCTTTTTTTAATCCATCGGCCAACAACATCGGCTGTGACGCTGCAGCCGTTGCAATTGGTTGCGTTTTGTACCAGTCAGATATCAATGGACATGACCGCGTGATCGCATCTGAGTCTTGTCAGCTGAAGGCTACTGAAAGAAACTATTGTGTTCATGACAACGAGATAATCGCATCCTGTATACCTTTATCGATTCTGGGTATACATGCTTGGCTCTGTCTCGTTTGTGGTTAATATAGATCACGCGTTGTTGCGCACAGAGCGATCGTCACCACATTTCTCTTGAGGAACACCAAGATGGGTCATCTCGTTCCTTTCAGCAAAAATGTGACCGTTTTTGATATGAACAAGCTGATCTTCGACAAAGGGTTTCGCCAACAGCCTTACCGGAGTCATCGTATCGGAGATAGATCTGCGCTTTACAGCCAGGTTCTGGCGAGCATAATACAAGGTGTCAGCAAACAGCTTGTCGTCTGCAAAGAGATGGTCAGATAAAACACGTGAAGTGCAGTTTCGAGGCTAGCCATCGAAACACTTGTTGTAATGGGGTCAGTCTTATTACGATGTTGTGTGAGCCACTTACTTCTGTGTGTGGTTAACATTAACTATATTTCCTGCATAGTTGTATAACCCTAAATTCTGTTACATCAGAATTGGTAGGGAAGATTTCAGACCCATTGGCCATAATAAATGTCACATCAACTTTTCCTCCTCGTTCACATAAATCAATGGCTCGCTGGAAGTGAGCAACACGCGGTGAAGCGTGTTCACTGATTTATGCCTTTCCCAGTAAGTGCGTGTATACGGACAACACCATCTTGTGTGACACTCTCCTTCATATCAAGGTATGTGTTACCCCGTGATAGCTGGCCTGTG